TCTTCCTTCTCTGGTCTTTGGCTAAGAGCTGCTGTGTGAGCTGTGCAGCCGTCCTGAGATGAGACCCACAGTTTTGTCTAACCCTCCCTCAAGAGTTAAGCATGGCCAGGGAGCCTCAGTTTCCCCACGTCCCAGTCTTTATACAAACCTTACGTCAGGATGAAAGGATGGGGCCTGATGAGCCGGAGCACCACTTCTTTCCCACCAGCCTTGTCCAAGGAGTGGATTATAGCATCAGCTCTGATGGCCCCGCCAGGCTCCAGCCCAGGGGGGTCTCACAGGCGGGGGGGCGGCGAGTGCTCCTCTGCAACACCCCCGCTCCGATACCACGGCAATAAGTGCTGCAGGAACAGCATCAGCAGGGATGTAGATAAGGACGAGGCCAGAGAGACTTTTTTTCTCTCCTTATCTCCCTCATCAAGGCAATGCCCGGCTGCCTGGCACGGAGGGAGGAGAAAAGCCGTTACAACGTGCATGGGACAGCTACTGCCAGTGAGACTTTTCTGCAGGGCTGGAAGGGCATAGCATGCTCAGTCAGGAGATGTCTCCTGCCCTGGATGGGGAAGGTGCCCAGTGGAAGGAAGAGCTGTGGGGTCAGCTTGTCCCTTGACACAAAAGGGCCAGTAGAGCCCATGGCTGCTGTGGGGTGTTGCAGGCAACTTCTATGAAGTACTGATACCTCTGGATCGGATTGGGGTTGGTGAGGCACTGGCACAGGTTGCCCAGAGAAGCTGTGGCTGCCCCATCCCTGGAAGTGTTCAAGGCCAGGTTGGATGGGGTTTTGGGAAACCTGGTGTAGTGAAGAGTGTCTCTGCCCATGGCAGGACATTTGGATCTAGATGATCTTTAAGGTCCGTTCCAATGCAAAGCGTTCTGTGATTCTATGGTCTGTGCTGTCAGGGATGACTCGTGGCTGTTTCTGCTTCTGCAGCTCACACCAAGGAGAACAAAGTGCTTTGGCCTGGTTCTCCTTCTGCCATACCTTCTCCTACCGTTGCCTTGCAAGGACATCTATCGCTGCCGGTGGGGAGGCAGCCGCGGCGCAGGGCTCGCAGGAGGCACGGGAAACGACAGTCTCCGTTACCCCAAGCAAAGGTCCTGAATTAGTTTCACACTGCCCCAAGTTCTCACCACTTTTCCTGCATTAATTGTAATTACGTCAATTAGTTATATTCACTCATTAATTAAAACAGCTACTCAGCGTTTATTTTTAGCACAGCCAAACGAGGAGCGCCGTAACTCCACACAGCCATGGCAGCAATGACAGACTGGGAGAGGGGCTGATCCTTCCCGTGGCACCAGCACAAAGCCTCGTGGCAGGGGGGGGGCGCTGGCCCGCGATGCTGCCGGGACAAGCGCCATGGCCGTGGCCGTGGCCGTGGCCGTGCTGGGTCTCCCGCGGCAGGACAGGACTCTGTCCCTGGAAGAGAATGACGAGAGCCAGAACCCTCCCGGCCAGACACCTCGGGGTGGAAACACCAGCACTTGTGAAGAGTTTCTCTTCAAGTTTAGGAGAATAATAAAAACACATAAGTAAGCAGGAAACATAAACAAAGCAAATAATTAGCTAATTACAATCTGCTTTAGCAGAACATTTTTAATTATTAAAATAATTAATGAGATTAAATTCAAAACAAAAACTCCATAAACTCAACCTGAACTTATCCTTGAAGCTTTCAAGTGTCTCAGCTGAATGCATTTACCTGGTGATACTTCCATTAGTACAATAGAATTCATAAATACCTTTTTTTTACCTTTCAGTTTATTTCATTTGACATTTCTGAATATTTTTAGCATTTCTGTTTTAGACTGGGGATTTAAGAATACCTCTGTGGTTTTCTGAACTAAAAAAATGTTTTCATTCACTTTTTTTCTGGTAACCTCTTCTATTTCTTTACTGTGTTTTGCATAGAAATGATTTCTGCCTGAGCACCCTATTTATCTCAAGTTTCCCACGCTCTAGGACACTGTTTCTTCAGCAGGGTTTTTAAAAAATATTTCATCAGTATGGGTCATTCATCTTGATCAGCATTACAGTCTCTGTTAGTGTTGCAAATCCCTTAGAAATCCCTATTCTCCGCTACCGCGCTGGGGATGTCTTTTTGACATTAAAATACAGGACACTGTAAATAATCTAATCCTCTGCTTCCCCAGCACTTATTGCTTTCGCAGGACCTGGCTGCCGTGTTAACGTTTGGCGGGTGCGACACGCGCACGTACACCCGCAGTGCGTGTGAGAGCAGCCGCCGCGGACAGACGCGGAGCGGGCGGAGGGGGAACGAGGGGCGGCAGCGGCGCGGGGCTCAGCAGCACCGTGCTTGGCTGTGCCATGCTCAGCGGCATGGTGCTCAGCTGTGCCATGCTCAGCAGTGCGGTGCTCAGCTGCGTGGTGCTCAGTGGCATGATGCTCAGTGGCATGGTGCTCAGTGGCATGGTGCTCAGTGGCATGGTGCTCAGCTGCGTGGTGCTCAGTGGCATGATGCTCAGTGGCATGATGCTCAGTGGCATGGTGCTCAGTGGCATGATGCTCAGTGGTCAGTGGCACGATGCTCAGTGGCACAGTGCTCAGTGGCATGGTGCTCAGCTGCGTGGTGCTCAGCTGCGTGGTGCTCAGTGGCACGATGCTCAGTGGCATGGTGCTCAGTGGCATGATGCTCAGTGGCACGATGCTCAGTGGCACAGTGCTCAGTGGCATGGTGCTCAGCTGCGTGGTGCTCAGTGGCATGATGCTCAGTGGCACGGTGCTCAGTGGCACGATGCTCAATGGCATGATGCTCAGTGGCATGGTGCTCAGCTGCGTGGTGCTCAGTGGCACGGTGCTCAGTGGCATGATGCTCAGCAGCGTGTGCCAGCTGGGGTGACGTGGACGTACCCACGGTCTGCAGCACCGAGCGGGATTTCACTGTATTTAGCAGTTTTCAGTGCTGGTTGACTCGTTGCTACAATTTTTTTCACCAAAGAATGAAATTCCAGCTGAAACTCCCTGCCAGCTCTCCAACAGCAGAGCTGGAGCTCTCCCCCAGGACCACGCTGCGGATTGGGTCCTTGCTAATTTCCTTCTCCCTCGTTAATCTTTGGAAACTTTCCCTCTAAAGAAAGTTCCCAGCATCATCCCCCATTCCCTTATTTTCTTTTATTTGAACCTCAGTGGTACTTTCCAAGTTTCCGCCCATCCGTGCTCGCAGGAGCGCACTGGCAGCGATAAACCCCACGGAGAGAGCAGAAATGTCCGTTGGAAATAGCGGAAGGGTTTGTTTCACTGCTCGGAACAAATACGATCGGGTGAGTGGAGGGCACTGGGATGTGTATCCGTCCACCTGCCGCTGCCAGCCGTGCCCATGGGTGGGTGGGATCTCCGGCTCCATCCTGCCCACCCCTTCCTCCGCCGTGGGGCCGTGGTCCCCCGCGGTCCCCTCCGCCCCTCCAGGCCCGGGATGCCGATAAGCAAACTGCAATTTGTTTAAAACTCCATTACCGGGACAGGATACGGTGCCAAACGATAAATAAAAATGGGATCATATCTCAGCGATTCTGGTACCCTCATTTATCACCGGGTGAGACAGAGGGCTGATAGTACCGGTACATTTGATATTCAACAATCAGTCACTTCTTTGTGTGCCCTAATACATCTCAGATTAATTGATAAGATATGTATCGCTTGCACTTTTATGAATAAATATAATCCCCAAATACTGGGGCTTATTCTGGAGTGTTCCTTTTTGATTCAGAATTAATTAAAGACAGAGGAAAAATTCAAAACTGCTTCAGAAAGCTGGAGATCGGGCCAGCACAGAGCACGGGCCCTTTTTTTCCCCTCAGGAGTTTCGAAATTCTTCATTTATGAACTGCCTTTGTCATTACATAACTTTGTGTCTTCCTGAGTTTTCAAAGCTTGTTAGGAGCGGTTATAAAATTGAATGGAAAGATGAAGATGATCGTAAGAGACTCGTCCTTCTCTGGCGGTGGCATTAGCCCGTGGCACTGAAGCCCGTCTTTGGGATTATTCTGCTGGCGAGAACCTGCTTCCCGTTCTATTGCTGGTTTGCAAGAGATCTCGGTGCAATTCTTTTCTTAAAATTAATCCTATCAAAATGTTACTGCTGAAATTAACCTCTAGAGTGACTGTGCAGGACCACCGTTACCTTCCCGTGCTGCTCTTTTGAAATCAAAATGGCAAATCCATAGCAGGTGGACAAGTCACCCGAGCCCTCCTAGTTTTGGGTGTGCTGTGTTGGCAATGAGCTACACGGAATAATTCTGTATTTGTTTCTTGGTAATAGATTTGATCAGCAAAGACTCAGTCAAGACAGACTGAGATGGGCAGAGGAATGTGTGAAGTACACGTCTGATAGGAGAAGGTCTAAGCATTCAGGAAGCAAAGGAGAAACTTAAATAGATGGTTGGTCTGCTGGCTCTGGAACCCATCAACCTTCTTCCTTTTCGCCCTTCTTGCTCGAAATGTCTTTGTCCATTAGCCTCTCCATACATCGTGTTAGGATGAATTATGGTTAAATGAATCCTGTACAAAAGGATATACATTTAAAACCTGGATCAAGGTTAATCTCATGCTCAGATGACAGGTGGAGATAAGTCTGGGGTCAGCCATTCCCAAGAGGACATGGGAAAGCCTTGTTGAGCCACAGTGCAAGCAGCCACCGTGCCGGGCTGGCATCGCCGCCGCCTTCGGGTGGTTGGGGTTCCGGGGGGCACACGCTGCCACCGCCCACCTCCTCCCTCCGCCCCATGCGGACCCCTGGTGCGGGGTCTGGTTAATTGGGTACATAATGAGTCTGATCGTCTCCTTAGCGGAGTCAATAGCAGGTCTGGGACCAACATGTCATGCTTCTTTTCCTGCTTTAATTTACATTGGTACTTTGCTTCATTTAAAGGCGGCTCCTTACTTCAAATGACTCCTGATCAAAGGGTGAGTCATCTGCGCTGCTGTAGCTGCATACATAAACAGGCACATATTTCTTCATTATCTACTTTGGGAAGCTCCTGGCATAAAGATCTCTTTGTCGGTTAACTGAGCTGAGCTTTTCTCATCAGTTCCCAAAGAATTTCATCTCGGTCAGACAGAGACCCGTAGCTGCCTATTGCAGCAAAAGGAGTTGCAATATTAAAAAATGTCACTACTGTAAATTTAGCAAAGATGAATAAGAAGTTGCAATATTAAAAAGTGTCAGTGCTGTAAATGTAGCAAAGATGAATAATTGAAACGATTTATAGTCCCATTACAGAAACTATACTTTACACGCACACATGCAGCTAATGGTCACACTCACCATAAATAACTCTTCAGTGCGTTGCCTTATCTGGGATGTCTGTGAAGGTGGGAGAGAAAATATGAGATGATAAATGTGTTCGTAACGCCGTTACAGTCTTATCAGTTTAAAAAACCTTGAGATGGAAAGTTCCTGATTACGGGTCAGACCCTGTAAGGTGACAGCTCCTCATTAGGGGCGGATGGAAGCAGCTGAATGTTCCTCAGAATTGCAGTTTGCTGTTCAAATTCTCTCTGCAGGTCCATGGAGGCTTTTTTCTTCCTCTTGCATCAACCACCATCTCGTATCTTGAAGAGAGAACATAGCTATGCTGAAAAAATCAGCACAGCGTTAATTGGAAGCTGATAATTAAATCACATTAGTACCCGCCCGGGCGTGTGCACACGTGTGCAAAGCAGAGAGAGAAACAGCTCAGATTTCAAGTTAAACTTTTGGAAGAGTTTGTGCCATCCTCAGGAATTTAGCAGCGAGTCTCCATCTCTGGCGTCAGCATCTGAATCAGCCTCGCGCTGCGAGAAAGACGGCATAGCTGCTGCGTATGAAAAACATTTTTCTTTCAGGCAGGTAGAAAATGGAGGGGAAAAAGCCAAACCAAAACCAGGAAGAGAAAGAAAAGCTCAGGATATTAGTGCTATGTTTTTAAAATGTCGATTGTCTGTCATGGTTCTCTCATTTTCTGCATGAAAAGCTGCACGTGGCACCTCCAGTGCATCATCCAGAGCAAAGCCTGGGCTGGGCAATGCTGTGCCCACCGCCGACGGGCACTGCGCACCGTCCCCACAAACGGAGGGGTTTTCTGAACCATAGGGAAATGTTTGCTTGCTGGAGCAAGCTGAAAGAGGGCCACCAGCCTGGCTGGAAGAGCCTTAAATAGACCTGGAGAAGCTAAACGAGGAGCAGAGACCTGAAGTCACCGATACAATTGACCAGACCCCACGAGGGATGCGTAAACTGATCCCGGGCTTCAGCTGCTTCGATTTTGTGAAGATCCACCCCGCGGGCGGAGTGACTCACGGCTGCAAACATCACCTGGCCCTGGGGACGAGAACACGGAGCGCTGCGGGGCAGTGGGCTCGGCCCGGCGGGCATCCCCCCACGCAGAGCGCAGCATCCCGCCAGCACCACCCTCCTGCAACCCCCATACAGCCTCTAAAGCGAGAAAAGGATGAGTCAGAAATCATTTCAGAGTGGTTTATTACCCAAGAAATTAAATCTGTTGACTCACACAACTAAACCCTCAATTTAGCAAACATGACATGATTTCCATATTACCAGATAAGTTGTGCCACATCCTATATCATTAGATAATAGCGTAACTGGAGTGTACAGATACTCCTCAGAGTTCTTTCACAGCTTTTAGCAGTAAAAATAAGCAAACAAACAAACAAAACCCAACCAAACTGGTTGTGTTAGAGCAGCAGAGGCAGGATGTCAGGAGAAAAGCAAGGTCTTCGGTCTGCAGCTGGATAGGTGGTGAGCTGACTCGAGATGAGACGAGAGTTGTCTGCTGTTTAAAAGCATAAATTCTGGATGCACACTCCTGCTTCTCACTGTGTTGCATAAAATGAACCTTCCCCCTATGCAGGTAGCCAACTTCTCAAAGACAAACTTCTACCTGTCAGAAAAGCAAAGCCCATGACGGCGGCTGAGCAGATGCGTTATGGTCCTTCCCAGCACAGGCTAAGTTCTACGGAGATATGCCCCAACGCAGTTGGTAAGATGCCCATTTCTGCTGGTTGCAAGCTTTTTGCTCCTACCTGTTGCAGATGGGGGATGCTGTCTGTAAATTAAACTCCCACACCCCAATGCAGCCCCCCCACTCCAGCCGTGGGCTGCTCGTGGCTCTGCACCGGGTGCAGGGTGCCTGTGGAGACACCGCCGCACCAGCCGGCACGGACCGTCGGGTCTCCTCAGCTACCCCTGGAGGCAGGGCTAAGGGGGATGGTGCGAGCAGACACAGGAGGAAGAAGATCCTCCAGCCTTTCTGCCAAACCTGGCTCCAGGGAGTGCCAGGGGCTGCTCCAGAGCACTCGGTAGGTTTGTGGGCACAGGGACCCACCAGCTGCAGGACTGGCCAGTGCCCGGGCGGAGTGAGAGCCGTGCCGCCCCGCTCAGACCCCTGCAGAGGGGTGACCACTGCGTGGAGAGGAATGGGATGTCCATGGGCTGGAGGAGGCCAGAGAAAAGGAGAGAAATGTGTTACCTTTTGTGATGAAGTCCGCTGCCGCTGGACTTTGCACTTGATACGTGACACACTTGGAAAGGGCTTCCTGGAAAACCCATTTTCAGCCCATACAGGAGGACTGGGGAGAGAGATTCCTTTTTTTTCCCCATTCATTTGTCACAAGATGGGTTAATCAGAAGCTTAATGCTCAGTATTGCTCCCTTGTATGAAATAAAGCAGAAAAGACACGAAAAGGGTGTTGCAGCACGGAGTGTCACCCAGAAGCCAAACAGAAAGCCTCGGCCCGGTGGCTAATGCAGATATCCACAGGGAAATAAAAACACAGCCTGCTGTTAACTTGCATCCACGGTGCTCGTCGTGCTCACCTGGGAACGGACCCGGGTGCCGGCACGTGTCGAGTCGCGGGGTGGGAAATGTGTGGGCAGCTCAGGC